TCCCCTCCGCTTTGTCTGAGTGCTAGAAGTCAGTGGACCATCCAGCACTCGTCCCTCCCCGTCCTCTCCTAATTTATATCTTCTATTGTTTTCCTAATATTTTCTTTTATTTCACTAGTTGGCATTTTTGTTCCATTAATCTCAAATACTGTACTACTATCGTTACATTTTTCTAAACCACACACAATTGTAATCCTTTTTCCAGACTTAAAACCAGAATTCAATTGCAAACAATCATAATGATATCATTTCACATTTGATGTATTGTTTTTTTTATCATATTTTGTTTTACAGACACAATATAACTTTTCACTTTTGTTTGAATTTTTTTCAGTACTTAACCATGATTGACGGCGAAACTTTTCTGGTAGTTTAGCATTTCGTTTTGGTCTGGACTGTTTTTCTTTTTTCTCATTCGAAAGCTTGGGTGATTTATCAAATGAAGATTCATTGTTAAGATTAATCTTTTTATGTTTGTTATTTAGGCCTGTTTCCTTGTTATCCACTGTATTGACTAAGGATGATAGAAGATGTTGGATATTCTCTCTGTTTGCTCTCCATATCTCCTGTAAATATTTCACTGTTTTATTGTTTGTAGGCCATGCAGCAGTTTTAGCTACTCTAGTCCAAAATGTTTTGTCTGTTATGTCCGGATATTCACTATCTAAAGGAAGTTGTACCCATATAGCTTCTGCTAAAGAATTGTAGTCTCTAATTTTTTTTCTATTGTTTACAAAACGTGATTGTTTTGATTCAGGGGCACCACCCAATAATCCGTCATGAATGTCAATTACCCTTTTAACTCTACAAGTACTGTTTTTGCATTTGTACTTCAAATCATGCAATTTGTACAAATAGCTGCACCTGGTTGGCTTGATTGCAGCTGAGAACCCATTTCTTATGTCAGTCTTAAAATATCTTGAAAGAAAAAGTTGACTACAAGACATAGGAGTAGAGGTTCTTGTATTTGGACATTGGAGAGCAGAGGAACAAGTGTTGGAAGGTCTAACAGACCTTCTAGCACTCAAACAAGGCGGAGGGGAGGGACGAGTGCTGGATGGTCCAACTGACCTTCTAGCACTCAGACAAAGCGAAGGGGAGGGACGAGTGTTGGAAGGTCTATCAGAGCAGTTCTACCATAATTATGATTTCCATATTTTAAAATTCTTTGCTAATTATTAAATGTCACATATCACAAATTGTAGTCCATACATGTATGTTTCATGCCACATAATTGGTTAAGGTGCACACTCAATATTTTTACTGTAATTAATGTCTTAATTAGTGTCTGCTAGCAAAAAGAGCAGTTCTACCACAATTATGATTTCCATATTTTAAAATTCTCTGCTAATTATTAAATGTCACCTATTACAAATTGTAGTCAATACATGTATGTTTCATACCACATAAGTGGTTAAGGTGCA